TATATCATATGTGATATATATATATCACACATATGTATATACACACAATTATGTATATACATATATGTATTTATCTATATATATTTAGATATATAAATATATATATATGTATATAAATTAAAACTCTGATGAACCAGATTCTACAAAAACATCTAGATTTAAATTTTTATAGGTTTTCATCATCATTTGATGTATTTGCACCCATTGTGTCTACTTTTAATATTCATTTTAGATGTGTGGTTTTCTTTCTTGTTCACATATATACATTTTATTTTTGGCTTTGCTTTAAAGTTCTTGTTTTGTGATTTGTACATTTGTGGGTTAAAATAAAGTTGAACTGAAGGTCGTCTCTTTTCTTTAAACATGTTTGAGGGAAATATTCCTGAGATCCAATAGTTTTGTGTCTTTTTATGATTTTCAGCTGAGTTAACAGTCATTAAAGTGAAAACAGGATTTCATGATGAAGCTGGCACCGTTTATTTTTATTTTTTTTTAAATCTTCAACGCTCTGCTGGTCTCGCACGACACTGCCCGCAGTCACACGATCCTCTCCTCCGGAGACAGGACGGGCAGGCTCATCTTCCCAGCTCCGAGCTCAGCTGGTGACTCGCAGAGGCCGTTCCAAGTCTCCAGCCGTGCGTAATCATGAAGGCCCGACACGCGCAGACAGGCGGACAGAGACAGGTCTGCAACGAAAGGTGGAAGCGATTTTAAAAAACATTTTACGTGTAAAAAAAAAAAAAAAATCATTTTTAATCGCTTCAGCAATTTTTTAAAACATTTTTTGTATAAAAACAAAATATTATTTTATTTAAAAATCTCTTCCACCGTCCGTCCCAGACTGTCCAGTCCACCTGACTGCCGGGTGGGATCGGGATTCAGCCTTCATGATTATGCGCGGCCGGGGTCTCGCAACGGCCATCTGCGCGTCCCCATCTCCAGCTTCGCAGTGACCTGCGGAGCTCTGAGCACACAAGGCTGGTAGCCGGAACCCGAGCCTCCGAGTCGGCACATCGAAGGATCTTCCGTGGTGACCAGCTGAACTTGGAGCCGGGGAGATGACGCCCTGCCCGGCCTGGCGCTCCGAGGCTCCGGAGGGAGGATCGGGTACACCAGCAGAGCTCCATCCAGCTTGCTCTGAATTATGTTGTCGGCCACCAAGCACAAAAAATGCCAGCACATCAGCATTAGACCAAGATGTTGTCAGTATTGTTTTAAAAATCTTTAAAACAAGTCCAGCCGCTGCTCCAGTCCGAGAAATTGCAAATGGCGGATTATTGTTTTGAAAAGTTTCTGAAGGATCCAGTGACTCCGCCCCCGACTCCGCCCCCGAACAATCAGTGACCGACAGTGTTCTGACGTCACGTTTTAGTACCTCTTCGTTCCAGTTAGAACCACAGAGCCAAGGGTACTGAAAATAGTAACCGGTGCTAAGTACCGGTACTAATGGAAAAGCCTCAGAACCGGGCCAAGTAGGGTCCAGTCGGCCCGTACCGGTACTAATGGAAAAGGGGCATAAGAGTACTCAACCGATGTACATCAACAACTTTTAGGGTCACCCTATTCAAGAAGACTGCCACAGCTATACAACATTCACCAACACAAAAATGACTTACTCTGACTCAAAAATGACTTCCTTTTTCACAGAGATTGAGCAACAAATTGATATGATAATAGCTGAGAGTCATCCTCAACACATACATTTACTGCAAATGATGGTATTAAGTTTTAGAGTCAACAATCTCTGTTAGCATATTATCGTAAACATTGGAGCTACATGTACAGTTGATTGACTTTTGGAGTTAACCCAATCCTTATAGTTTAGAGTAAGCCTCAACACATCAATGACTCCATGACTATGGAGGCCATCTTGAATTAAAACTCTGGAATGAAAGGCATTAGGAAAAATGCTTTACTATAAAAGAAAAGCTGGCCCTTTATGGTCCCCCGTCACAGACATGAAGAGGAGACATGGAAACACCCTCCAATTGTCTGACTGTTTCATTCATTCATTCAACCTTTATTTATACAGGTTTAATCCCATGGAGCCTTGGGGACTCATTTACAAGAGAGACCTGATTTTAACAAAGAGTGATGACAACAGTGGAACAACAAAGACAGCAATAGACACTCATAAAGGATGCGTGCAACTTGAGAATTTTTTTTAACAAGTGTAATAAAATGGTAGTTAAAAGGAAAACTAAAAACAGGAACATGTCTGCATTGGTTTTTCCCAGGAACTTAACAGATGTTTAAAGCCACTTAGAGAGGTCAAGGTCGAGAGCTTCAGATTATTTTGCAAGATATTCCAGGAAACAGGTGAGGATTAGGAGAAGGCCCTTTTGCCTATTTCAGTCCGCACTAAGAGAACACTGCATGTAATAATGTCCTGAGCGCATGTTGTAGCTGCACTCACACAGAGACGTGGGAGGAGATATATGAAGGCAGCAGACCAAGAGGTGATTTAAAGATGAAAATGTACCAGTGAGAGAGTCTGCGTGAAGTTAATGATGTCCAGTTAACCAGTGAATACAGGGTGCAGTGGTGGGAACGGTAGTTACAGCCAGTTATGAATCTTAGCGCACCATGATAGGCAGCGTCCAACATCTGCAGAGTGCTTGTAGGGGCGTTCATGTAAATAATATCACCGTAGTCGAGGAAAGTTGCCGTTACAAGGTGTTTCCTACTATTCAGAGTTAGACAGGATCTATTTCTGAAAAAGACACCCACTTTAACTTTCAGTTTCCTTATTAGGTTTTCCACGTGGAGCTTAAAAGAGAGATGTGAATTGACCAAGCTACCCAAATGTTTGTAGGAATTGACTAACTCAATTGGGGCACCATTCAAGGATAAAATCAAAATAAGAACTGCTGGAACTGACTTCCTGTTTGAAAAAAGCATCCCTTTGGTTTTGTAGGTGTTTAGGACAAGTTTGAGATGGAACAAATCTGACTGGATTATGTCAAAAGTGGACTGCAAAAGCTGGAAAACCTTAGCAACTGTTTTAGCTCGACAATAAACATCTGTCTTATCTGGTTCATCTTGTAAGCAGGATAACTTGAAAATCAAGAGAGGTAAAGAGTCTGACTTTCATCTTGATGTGTGGCTGCATCTAAGAGTAAGAAATGTCGCTGTCAAAAACGGTGCTACCATGTCAAAATCCAAAACAGCCACCGATGTGTGTGCGTGTGTGTGTGTGCGTGTGTGTACCAGCTACCCAATCATTTGAGGAAACCATTTTCTAGTTTTTATATTGCTTACAAGTATAGTATCCGTAAATAATTAGGGTGGCTAAAGATTTATCTATGAAGGCCAATGCCACCATCCTCCACCTCCCCGCCAACGCCCTGACTCCAACCCCTTGACTCCCACCCCCTGACTGTTGCTCCTGTTGGGGGATAAAACTGCTCTCTGTACTCGCCAGGATCCATAATTTCATTCAACGTTTATATACAGGTTAATCCCATTGGGGCTCAGGGACTCATTTACAAGAGAGACCTATTGCAATGGGCTGTTCGGTTCATATACAAGTGGTACGAGAGTTTGGTTCACATTATTGGTAGTAAGTCGAGCCCCTTCAGGGTGGTAGTTGGACTCCGTCAGGGCTGCCCTTTATTACCAATTCGAAATGACCTTTGATAATGGACAGGTGTCTATAATAGTCCTGTTAGACCTCAGTGCTGCATTTGATACAGTTGATCACAATATCTTACTTCAGAAGCTTGAATATGATATTGGGATTACAGGAACAGCTCTAAATTGGTTTAAATCATATTTATCTGATAAATTCAAATTTGTTAATGTAAATAATGAGGCTTCTTCATACAACAAAGTTAGTCATGGAGTTTCTCAGGGTTCAGTGCTTGGACCAATACTCTTTACCTTATATATGCTTCCATCAGAAAAAGTTATTAAACAGCATCCATAAATTTTCATTGTTATGTTGAAGACACAGTTATATTTGTCCATGAAACCCAATTAATCCAATCATCTACTTAGACTACAAGCATGTCTTAAAGACATAAAAACCTGGATGACCCCAAATTTTCTGCTTTTGAATACAGACAAGACTGAGGTTTTGGTTTTTGGACCTGAGCATTTTAGGAATAATTTTTTCAGTCTTTCACTCTCCTTGGATGGCATTAATCTGGCTTCCAGCTCTAATGTTAAAAATCTTGG